CTCTCTCTCTCTCTCTCTCTCTCTCTCTCTCTCTCTCTCTCTCTCTCTCTCTCTCTCTCTCTCTCTCTCTCTCTCTCTCTCTGTGTGTGTGTCTTGATACGATCAGTAGGTGGTTCTCTCTCTCTCTCTCTCTCTCTCTCTCTCTCTCTCTTTGTGTGTTGGGCCAGCATGCATCGTTGCTCACGTACAGAGGGCTCTTGGACAACAGTTCTAGCCACAGATGTCCTTTATGAGGCATAGAGTGATTGTACATCCTCACAGGTTTTGCTTTGGAAAGTGGCTCCCTTCTGCCTCTCTCCTCTGCAACTTCTGGTACATCACTACCTCTCCAGGCTCTTCTGGCATGTACTTGTTGGACTACTTTCCTTCGACATGGTGCGTTCATTTTCTTATGCAGTTGTTGGAAGACTGCATAATTTGTGGATAGAGGTTGAGTTGTAGAAGGGGTTGTTTGTCTTCTGTTCTCTTTGGTCTTCATGTTTTCATGTATACCCCCATGCCATTTTCAGAATAACAATGTGGGATATTGATCTGTTGCAGTCTTCTGTCCTCTTTTCTTGTGACCGCTTTTGTATATCCTATTATCCTCCCATTGTGCTCTGGGGGTAGCAGTCTGGAATGCTGGCATGCACTGGTGTGCGGGTGTTGTTGAAGCCCATTCCAATGGTTTGTGTTCAAGGGAGAGAACAAGGTCTCCAAAACGGGCTATCTTGCTGGGTGATTTCCTTGGTGCTGATTCAGGGGCTGCCTCGTTGGATGGCTTGAGGCGATACCAGCTGTCGATCTTCATAATCTATGCCCAGAACCTCTGTATTGATGCAAGCGGACTGCTGCCATTGTTCAACATTCGCTCCTGTATGAGGTGTTCACAAATTGCACCTTGTTGTACTCCTTAAATCTGTTGGAGGACCTGTTTGTTTCATTTGTTAGTAAATGTGGAGGATTAAAGTAGAAAAAAGTCGAAACGTGTAGGGCACGTGGAGGGCACTCTGCACACTTGGAATGAATTCAATGTTGTGCCTGACGTCAGTTCTTGGGATATTCTCCTTTGTTGATTCTGTTAATTATGGTGCAGCGAGACTTCCCCCATCTGATATGCTGTCGTCGCTCGCTGCAGAACTCCGGCAACGATTGGTGAGGAAGTTAGCCTTACGCACTTTACCCATCAACCATCAGCTCATAATTAAAAAGGTCGTTAATTAAGAAAAAAATATCCTAAGCTTCCCCTGGCTTCTACCTTTTTTTCTCCCCCGTCTCGAATTTGTCTGTGTCCCTTCTGCTTCTATTTCCTGTTTTGCAAGAAAACCGGCTGGCTTGTTGTATTGGCATTGTGAGAAGTTCTATCGGATGAAAAGCAAGAATGGCATCACCTCGGCGGGTAGAGCAATGGTGGAAATTGCGCCTTGTGGCATAAGTAGTCGGTTCAAATGTACGTGCCCTCAGCTTTGTGTGCATCAGCGTCGAAGGGCATTGATTGATGCATGACCATACACACACCAGGGTTGTTCTATGGGAGGCATTGGGACAAGGGGATTCATGGTGCACACACTGTGGGGCGTCCGTAGGGTCATCTTCAGCATGATGTAGTGGAGCTTGAGGAAAGGGGTCTCGGAGGGAAAACTTGGGGTCCTTCCATGTGGGTTGTGGTGTGCCCTAGGGGGGATTTAGGGACCTCCTAGGGGGGACTTAGGGCCTTCTGGAGGGGTGGTACCACATCCTAGGGGAGTTCTATGGAGCCTTCCAACGAAACTGTGGAGAATATTGCTGGCCCTGAGGCACTAATTAGGGGGCCAGGGATGAGGGTGCCCGCTCTGATAGCAGTAAGAACTAGGGTTGTTACGGAGTACTAGGGGAGCGTGGTAGAAGTAGAAACCCCAGGGTGAAATACCCGTACGGGGGCAGTTGAAAAACCTCAACTGAGGCAGACAATAGAAGTGATTGGGGTGACCATCCTACTCCCTAGGAAGATCTGGTCCATAGAGCTAGCGTAGTACTACAACCGTGGTTGCCCAAAGAACGCCCGGCCGGTCACTAAAGCCGTATTTGGGCAACTTTCAGTCCATGTGCAGCCATAATGACTGGGTGTTCTATTTGGGTGAAGGCGGTAGGGAGTGTGGGCAAAGATATAACTGGGGCACTTGCGAGGGACCATCTTGACCATGTGCTGCAGGGAGGGGTGACCCTGGATCATAATATGGTTGGGGAGAACGTTGTAATGCCAGCAGGGGAGCGCCGCTTGGGGGGTTATCTAGTTGTGAAAAGGACAGACCAGGCCTAACAGGGTCGCACAACTTCGCTTAGGGCGATAGGCCCCTAGGACTATGACAAACGTGGTCTAGTGGGTCTAGAGTCGACCGTTCACATCGAGCTGAGGGCCCTCGACAGTGCAGAGTGACTTGTCATGAGGGCACAGGTCTGCATCCTGCAGTTTCTGTTGATGTGGTTGGGGAAGGGTAAGGTAGTGATTATGCTGTGTTTATATTTTGTCATGTTTGCTATACAGAGGAACTGGGTATGGAAAGAAGCTTCTCCCGCCTTTGGGGAGTGAGCGTGAACGGAGTGTGCTGAAGGGGAGTCCAACACTCACCAGCAAGGACAGTGAGTCCTCAAGAAGCTGTGTGGGTGTATAAGGGAGGAGAGCGTTAGGATGACAGTCACCCCGAGGCTGGATGTGCCATGGAAAGTCTGATCCTGCCACTCCGTTCACGCTCCCGCCTTTGGGGAGTGAGCGTGAACGGATTGTGCTGAAGGGGAGTCCAACACTCACCAGCAAGGACAGTGAGTCCTCAAGGAGCTGTGTGGGTGTATAAGGGAGGGCGTTAGGATGACAGTCACCCCGAGGCTGGATGTGCCATGGAAAGTCTGAACCTGCCACTCGCAACCTTTTTTTGTAGAACAAAAAAATGTCCTGGTCTTTGATCCTTGTCTTCACCTGAATAGTTCACCCTGTCATAATGGCTGTTCCTGGACTGAAGTTCCACCAAATACAACTACAATGACCAGGCATTCTATTCAGGTGAACATGGTAGAGTCTTGCTGTTTGTTTTGTACTTCTCTGAGATAGCTTGTATCATCAGTTGTATGGCAATCCCAGGAAACACTAGGTTTTCCGCAAGCTCGTTGTAGAACCAGATAGGTGCAAGTGCACCAATATCGCTAAACGAGTGCCAAATTAGGCATCCATGAAGAACACTGTAATGTCATGGTGGTAAGATTACATAACTGTTTGTCTAGGGGTTTGTGGATGTATGCCGGCCAGTGATAAGCAACCGGACTACTGCCCCCCAGAATAGATGGGGCCTTGTCAAAAAAAAAAACAAAAAAAAAAAGATTACATAGCTAGGGGTTTGCTGATCTTGAGCGCCCACCCCTTTTTGCCGCAATCCTTCAGCATGGTGTAGACTCTGTGCACAGATGAGGTAGTTGGTTGGTGGCAGCCGCAAGGCCAGTGTGGACTTGAGCTGGGAGTTCGGGGACACTTACCGAGCGAGTGAAGACAGCTAGTTGTTGCAGCAGGAAGCAGGAAGATGTACTTGTGAAGGAAATTAGATGGGCGTCATCTGGGATAGAGTGCCCTTGTTGGGCACTGCGGTGCTCTTGGCCTGAAGGATCCACTGCCGAGTTTGCTGTGCACTTAGGAGGCGCAGATCCTGCCTTTATTAACTGCAATTCGATCACTTAGACATATAGCTGTGCTTCATGTGCCCCTGTCTTCATTAACCTCCGAATTAGCTGTGTTAGCTGTGCGCTAAGCAGCTGATGTATGGGGCACATAGACATATAGCTGTGCTTCATGTGCCACTGTCCTGAAGCACTCCAGGTTGCTGGCAGCACGGTCATGCACGTCTTATACCTGCACTACGTACTGAGATCGGTTGCCTTGCTAATAGATTTACAATGGGTGAAATGTACCTGTACGGAGTGGTCAAAGGTTGCGGGTCCTTTCTTTTCTGGGGCTGAACTTAGGTCGTCTTCAAGGCTTCCGTTTGACATCAGGTCATGCGAGGATATGGATGAGATGTGAAACATTCAAGTAGCTCCAAAGGCATGAGAACAGATAGGTCCTGGTAGATTTTATGATTTTATCCCATGCTTTTGAAATGCCATTCGGTTTATGTCAATGGTGCTTTATGCGGTCGTACTAGTAATTAGATGAATTTTCCGTCAGAGGACTGGTAATCTTGTCCACTTGCTGTTTGACTGCCAATGACTGGCAATATGCTACTGGCTGGTGACAGTGAAGGGAAATAGCAGTAGTAGAAAAGTTGCAAGTCCTAGGTTGATCTTGTCGACTGTGTATGCTCCCAGTGGATAGTTTTGACTGCAGCTATACAACGCTAAGTTCGGGGTGGATTGAATAGTTTGAAACTCCTAGGTTAATAACCCTGTACCCATCTTTAAGCATAGGAAAGCCTCGGCCATGCTCGGCATTAATGTTCCGTGGGTCCGGGTGGCGGGTATCCCGTGTTGCTGGTATTTTAGCAGAGAGTCAGGTGACAATGTGGTACGGTCCTGAGCATGCGATGTGCTCATAGATGTCAGACATTGGGTGAGGGATACCGTTCAGGGCATAGAGCTCATTGCCAGATGGATGCATGGTTTCGGGTTGCTGTGTGGCTCATTAAAGGAGGAAGCCTGAAGGAAGAAAAATACTGGGTCGTCGAATCTGGAAGTCATGATCGCCCCGACAGGGGTATACAGGCGTATGCAAGCCATGGTGGCAGGGGTAAGAGTTCCATCCCTGGTTCTGTTTGACAATTCTTACCCTTGTCCATCGACATTGCCAAGTCCTTGAAGAACCGGATCACCCCTCCCACCTTGTGGGTCGTCTGTCCTCTGATCTGCATATCCTGGCCATTTGCTTGCGTATATATCGTGAGGTTAGTCTGCGGGAACAGTTATGGGTGCTTGGCATAACCTGCCCGTTCACTCATGTGTGCATCCAAAAGGTTAGCCTGACGTCTCTCCATGAGAAATTGCTGGTAACAGGCTCGACAGAAGACCTCTGCAGCACGATTGCACGATTGATAGTTAAAATAGGCACCGAAAAGCACATCACTTGCAATGAAGGCAGAGATGGCAAGTAGTTCGACAAGTGGGCAAGGTGAGTTCACGCCAGAAATGTACGGAGTGGAAAGTGGCTGACATCGGGAACTCTTTTGTCACAAGGTCTATGGAGGTCGTATAAACATGCAGTCGAAGATCCCTACCTTCTTCACTCGAATCGAACGTATGGTCATTGTAGCTGTATTTGGGGTTTGTTTTTAAGTCTAAATACGGCAATAATGACCGTATTGAAACGGTTTTCACCTTTTAGCAGTGGCAGATGCAGTACCCAGGGTTCGATCCCTAGACCTCTCGCTACCCATGTACAGTATCTGTGTAGACCCCGAGAATTGAACCTGTGACCTGTGTATTCGTAGGCAGTTGGTAGGCCTGTCGTAGGTCCATAGGCAGCAGGGGTTCGATCTGTAGGTCTATAGYGTAGGAGTCTTAGTGAGTTCCRGAAGCTTAGCTGTAGACCTTCTAGAAGGTAGGCAAGTGGGCAAGTGGTCAAGTGGTGAGGCAAGTGGTGGACTAAACCGCAGTGCAGCAGCAGTACAACGTCGGTAGGATAGCGGCGAGTCCACAGCCAGTCAGCGGAGGGTCCAGTCAGTCCCAGTCCGGTCCAGCAAGTATCACAGGGGGACTGCGAGCATCAAGGGCCGATGGCAAAGGGCAGACCAACGAGTTTCTGAAGTATAAATCAAGATGCAGCGCCCAGCCATTCATTCATTCCTGCGTGAGCCATGCGGAAGGGCTGCCACAGCGACTTGTGCACGGAGGTCTGCAGATGACCCCGGAGGACGCAGAGGGCTAGAGAGAGGGAGTTAGCATAGCGATAGGTTAGAAGCAGCGACAGATGCCATAGCCGTAGTTAGTAGTGAGTGTGTGTGTGTGTCGCTATGTGCAGAGTGTTGCGTGTGGGACATCCAGGGTGATCCAGTGTGCGAACAGTGAAGTGTGTGGGCGCACAGTCGCCATAGCCAGTTGGAAGAGAGCTCTTATCTGGTTACGATATCTTCGAGTACTGTGTGGGCGCATGTCGCCAGTTTGCTGTATCGCTGTTTGCATGCATGTTGAAGTGTGACTCAGTCGAGTCTGATTGCAGTAAGTTGCATTTGGGTGAAGAAGGTAGTTCTCAGCTGTAGACACTTGGTAGTTATCGTTAGGCTCGATAGGTCCTATGTTAGCCGGAAATGTCTCGACCGGACATTAGGTCGTACGTGAGCCCGGGATGTCTCAAACGGACAATGGCTGACATTGTAGACCCTTTTGCCACAAGGAAAACCTATGAACATAGATGGAATTGATGTTCACTAGTTTATTGCAAGTAGACTCCCATGAACTTGTCCAATATGTTGCACAGTGGGAACAGATCTATGCTGAGAGCTTTGTCGGCGTTGTCGCAAAGGGCTTCTGAACTGTCGCAACCTCCAATTTCAGTCTTTGTAGCCTGAATTGGATAGCACGGTTGGTGGGACGACTTCGTATGCCTCGGGTGACGGTGACAGTGAACCGCTTTGGACAGGGCTTTTGTGTACCTATGAGCACCGTTTCTGCGTAATGTGCTGATGAAACGCATAAGCCTTCATCTGTAGAGGAAACGAGGGAGAAAATCAACGAGTTCTCTATCAACGTTATCAGCAGCGAAGGATGTTTAATACTTTGGTTTACGGAGATGGGTGCTTGTGTGCTGGGCAATTAAGTCTATAGGCTACAGATCGCTTTCCCCTCAATGATTGACTGCTTGCAGTCTGTGACTGGAAGCAGATATCTTAACGCTTTTTTTGCGGATTTTCCTTGTTTGTTGTACTTTTAGTGCCGCTTAAGGTCGGATGGAGAATGAGAGCCCCTCGGCATGTCCCACAGTACAAGGTCGGTTCATGCATCATTCTGCGTTGCACGAGAACCACTTGTAGCTGCGACTTCATCCTGTGAGGCTGTCCATATCAGTTATAGACTGTTCAGCTGCATAGCATTTCCCTTATGAGAGGAAGTTGACGACTTCATCGTGTGGAGAAATGGAGTGGAAGGACGGTGGGCGCAGGTTGTGCGAATGTGCTGTGCTAATGATGTAATCTTTTCTGTGAGACTAAAGCTCCCGATTACAATATCCTGGAGTGTTTTCATCATGTGAAAATTCCATTCTTGAGTATATTCATCGTGTGAAAACTCCATCCTCAATGGTTCTTCAGAACTGCTTCCCAATCGCTGGGATCTATGATCCTTGCAGGCGAGGTCAGCCAAAGTCTTACCTTTTCCGGAAATAGAGTACCTGGACAGATCGACAGACTGACATGTTGGATTGACCAATTGGCAGACAGATCAACAGACTGATGGACGGAGTCGATACACATGCAGGTGCTGTATGCCATTATGGCACACGGGGATGTGGGCAGCTCGCGCTCAACCACAATCAACGTTCGCAAGCCTTGTACATGGCACAGTAGAAGGGGAGTTGCAAGGACATGAAATGGGTACCCAGAAAAAGAAAAAAGTGAACACAGTTGAGAAAGGGATTTAAACGTTTCTATTACGCTCCGTCTTGCTTCCTATAGAGGTAAAACTGTTCCATTGTTGGACTGTCGCAACCCAAGTGTTTTCGTTGTCTGCAATAGGACTACTAAAGCCGCTTCGATTTTGGATCTTACTCATCTTGCTGGAATAGAGGCTTCTGTGGTGAAAACTCAAAACAACACACATCCAGTACAGCGCTCTGTAGTGGTTCATTTGGTAGTCTATGTTCCTCCTCAGGCTGCTGCATCTGTCGTTCGTCTGGCAGGGAAGAAGGAAATCCGTCTGCGGTTGCAGTAGGTGTATGCCCAACACTGCGTATGGGACATGCTAGGAGAGGATGTGGTGGATGCTGGCATTAGATTGGAAAAATCAGAAAAGTATGCCATAGTCAGAAGGCTTGCGAAGCACATCCAATGTATCATGAGTGTGACCTGCTAGTACAGGTCCGATCCTAGCCGCGCAATCTACAAGAGCAGAGATCTAGCAAGACTATAGAACGTGTGTTTTGGATTTTCACCTTGCGGGCACTGACAGTATGAGGACTAGGTGTCCTGCAATTTGCAAAATTGTTCCCTCCGATCTGTGTAGATGGTGCTGCATCATTTATGGACCTCACCCTTCCACTGATTTTTGGGCTTTGCAGTAATGGATTGATTGTCCATAGTGGCCACATTCACTGCACTGCCCGACTTCCAGTCTCTCTGTCCATACGTCCTCTGTATCCGCCACTCTTGTCTGAGGTGGTATCCACTTTTGACCGCTCACGAGGTGTCGTAACGCTATTCTCGCCCGTTGTGGTGCCTGCTCTTCGTCTGGTGCTGCTGCTAATCCTCTTTGCAGCTGTTTCTGCTATTTTCCTGCGCAACTTCGTTTTCTTATCCTGAAGAGCAGCAAGGATGGTGTCATTTGTCTCCCTGGAGATGAGGCACTTGTCTTTCTTCTCTGTCTCCAAGGACTGTCCTTTCTTCCGCTGCATCCTTTGAACTCCTTTAGGCTGCTGCTGATTCTTAGAATACAACTGGACCACTCGTCGCTGCAGCATACATCTTACTGTCTTTCAGAGGTTCCCATCCCGTGCACGTGAGTTGATCCCTTGTTGTATCTCGCTGGTGGCAGGTGTCCCCTCTGTTGGTCGCAGTGCGGAATCGTCCTTTAGAGCTTCTTATGTCATTTTTTCTGTAGGTTTTCAGTTTTTTGCCCTGAGGATCCAGGTGGCATGCAATCTTCTTGGGGAGAGCCTCGTAAATGCGTACATGACTGGGCGTTCCCCCTTCTCCAACCCGGGAGTCTCCAAAACCTGACCAGACTCCTGGACCAGATCGTGCAGGCTGCCACGGTATGTCCAAGCGCAGAGCTCCTTGTACGGGGCCCAGGGCCCATCCTGAGGGGTAACCATTCCATGCCTCTTTTGCCGCCTCCCAAGACTGCCATGGTACGTCTAATTGCAGAGCTTGGCGTACTATGCCACATATCCTCCACCCAACAATGCTTCCCTGCCCGCCCACTTCTTCGCTATGTGCCCAGTTCTTTACGGTATCCTGGACTGTGGAGGATGTGAATCGTACTGTGGACACCTTTTTCAGCTCATAATGGTTGAGCTGTCTGTTGACAATCTTCAACGAGTGATCCATGTCGTCATCTCACATCCCCTTGGATGTGGACGGCTAGTCCAACTTCCGCTGGGGGACTTTTCTTGTGCTCCAACAATCTGGGGGCCTTCTTGGGAGGCGGCATATTTCATCTTACTCGCGCCCTTAAATGTGGATGGCCGGTCCAACTTCGGTTTGGAGGCCTTTTCTCCTTCTGCTTCTCCAATCTGGGCGTTCTTGGGAGACACCGGACGTGTCATCTGCGGCAACCTTACCTCAGCCTGCAGCCTGCAGCGTGCAGCGATGGCATCCAGCTTACTGTCCAGGGCGGTTGCCTGATGACTCAATGCGTCCGATTGCCTCGAGCCTGGATTTCCTAGCAGTCGTTAGTTAGCTCATCTGCAGGAGCAGGTTGGATCGGGGAAATGGCTGCTGGCCTATCATTCACGTTGACGTTCGTTTCGCCAGCAACGCTCTACGTGAAGTGCGCTACCTCACTACTTTTGTCAAATCGATTTTGCGAGAGCCTACCTGCTTCTGTCGGGCTTTACTTACAGGTCCTGGTCCTGTTTGTCTAGGGATAGCCAGCAACGGCTCTACGTACAGGTCCCAGGTTCAAATCTGGTCGGTGGCAAACGTGATAGACATCAGAAATAGGAACAGGCTGCGCTTACCTCGTCGTTGGGCCAGGTGTGGGTTCAAATTGTGCCTGGGCATAACAGGTTGCCATGCAATTCGCTATGTCGATGATGAGCCTTTTGGCTCCAAACTTCTGAAGGCATGCTGCCGAATTATGCCGATTAACCGAGATTGGAATCTTTGGATTCATTTTAGTCCAAACTGTGTTGTGTTCCCATGTTTCGAGAAGTGCTTTGATTGAAACTGACACCTTCACACCTCCACTCATTCCTGATTCCATGTTGAAGATAGGGTCTGTGGAATTGAAGGGCTCCATCTGTACGTGTAACCTGTCTCTGGTATCCCGTATTTCCAGCCAACTGCTATCCTATGCTGCTCTGTATAGCGGGTATCGAATGTTGTGTATGGGGAGAGGTATAGTGGTGTTGCTGCTAATGCCAGTGTGTTGTTGTGCTTGTAAACAGGGTTTGCAGTTGTTTAATCTGGATATCATCAGAGAAGGTGGCTGTGGCGATCGGTACTATGTTATAGACATAAACTACTTTCCTGGTGAGGAGTCTGGCCCCTTTTTTTTTTCGATGTTCGCAATTACACCTTTCACTATCTACCTACCACTGGCTCTTCGTAGAATGGTAACCCTTCACTTTGTCTTTTTTTTTTTTTTTTTTTTTTTTTTTTTTTTTTTTTTTTTTTTTTTTTTTTTT